AGTTTTCTCCCACCTCAGCCCACCTAAGTGAGCGCCTGTGTTCTCCACCACCTGAGACCCGCCTCACAGCATGGTTTTACTCCATAAAGTCCCTGGAAGAGACAGCTTCCCAGGGACAACCCATTCCGGCCCCCATTCTGTTCCTCTTGGACAGAAACATTCCTTCCCAATAAATACAGTCTGCTCTTAACCTCCATCTAAAGTTCATTCTTTGGTTTTAGAGAACACAAACTCGTCCCAGGTACCTTTTAGGTCAGGAGTTTCATTTCTATATATCAATCTTATTGGCTGACCATAGCTTTGTCCCATCTCATGCCCACCCCATGATTTCCCATCATCTCCACCTTGGACCCACCTCACCCCGTAGATTAGCTCTATAAAAATCCCTAGGAAGGCAGGGTCCTCAGCAACCTACTTGGGACCCCTTCTGTCTCTCTCGGACAGAAGCTTTCTTTCCCCAATAAATACATGTGGCTCTTAACTCTGGTGTTCTGAGAATTCATTCTTAGATGACATCTAGCAGGTTGGGAGTTTCTCTCCCAGATATGGTAGGCTGGGCTTGACTTGGCAGTCCTCCTGCCTTGGCCTCCCAGAGTGCCGGGACCACGAGAATGTCACCACACCTACACACTGTTGACTTTTCTTTTTTTTTTTTTTTTTTGCAGAACCAGGGATTGAACTCAGGCCCTTGTGCTTGCCAGGGAAGTGCTTATTCCACTGAGCCATCTCCCCGGCCCCTCGCTGTTGACTTTTAACTGATTATATTATAATTAAAGGATGTGGTCTTCATGATACATATCCTTTGAAGTACAAAACAAAAACAAGACTTTTGTAAAATAAAAGGAGAAGGGTTGAAGGGAGGGGAGCAGAATAAAGAAAAAAGAATCAAGATACATTGTATGCAGGTAGAAATTCCCTATGATGAATGTGATATGTGAGAATATATATACATTATATGTATGTATATATAGCTGAAAACTTTACCAGTAAAATTATTATTATTATTTTTTTCGGACCCAGGGATTGAACTCAGGCCCTTGCGCTTGCCAGGGAAGTGCTTATTCCACTGAACCATCTCCCCAGCCCTAGTAAAATGAATTTTAAAAAGAAATATATTACAGTTGTTTTATAGCCTGGCAATGGTAAAATTTTCCAGATGTTGTACATTGATTTGAAAAGAATGTGTATTCTTTAATTTCTGAGTTGAAGTTTCTATAATGTCCAATAAATCATATTTATTCATAATACTGGTCAGGGGGGCTGGGGAGACAGCTCAGTAGAATAAGCACTTGCCTGTTCTGCAAAAAAAAAATAGTAATAAACAAATAATAATTCTGGTCAAATCTCCAGCATCTCGATGGATGTTTGTGTACTTGACCGATCAACTACTGAAAGAGCTGATCAGAATTTTTGCTCCAGTATACTGGAGGGTTTGTTAGATTTTTCTGTATGATTTCATCAACCCTTACCTAGCATAGTTAATGGCTTCGTGTTCAGATTCCAACATCTTGAATTAGCCTAGCTCCCACTGGAGCAAATCTTTTACGATGGTGGAGGCTTTCCATTTATCCTATCCATGTCTGGGCTAACAACTGTGCTGCACTTTTGAGTTCTGTAGGTCACAGACTTCCAAACCCTGGCGGGTCACACCAACTCAAGGCGGGTGCTTGGGACCGCGGCAATGAAGAGGAGAAACCAGCGCCTGGCGGGGGCTGCAGCCCATCCCACTCGGGGCTTTGAGCCTGCTTCACCCCCGCGCCCAGCTGGACGGAGGGCCCTGCCCACCCCCGCGGGGCCAGTCCAGGCCGCAGGAGGCCGCAGGCAGGGCTGCTGCTGGGCTGGCTCCCCAGCCAGCCTTTCCCCAGGGAAGAGGTGGATGACGGCTGTCAGCTGCAGCAGCCAGAGGCCAGGGCCCAGCCGCCTCAGGGCTCTCACTTCTTCCACCGAACTCTTCTCACTTCCAGATTTTCTGGATGCTTGGGTTTAGACAT